TGTCGGGAATGTCCCCCTACAGGGGGATTTTCGACGAAAAATGAAACATATCCCAAAAATACACCGAAAAGGTCAAACATACCCAACAAAATAATCCCAAGACTATTTTTAGACTATGTGTTGACTATCCTTGGGGTACTTTTCGTCGAACATCCCCCTATTTAAAGCCAGGAGGAAGGATGAGGTGATCCAGGAGGGAGGTGCAGCCAGGGGGGGCGGGCGACGCAGACACGACACTGCGGACAAAAAAAAACGACCAGAGAGCCCTCCGCCGCCTCTGGCGGTGTGTGCGCTGCGGGCCAAAGCGCAGCAGAGCCACGGGAAAGAGAGGAAAGTGACAGCGCAGCTCCGCGCACGCGACATATGTTAAAACGAGTACAGTCAACCCGTATAGTAAGGATGCGGGATAAGGATACAAGGGCCCTGGAGGGCCATCGCGGAGCTTTTCGAGCACAACGCGGCCAACGAAACTGGCCAAGGATGGACCGAGGAGGCAAGGATGCAAGGGTACCCTTGGGAAGGTTGCCCATCCCTACTCTGCGGGTTGACTGTAGGACCACAGCCAAGCCCCAGGAGGGCGAGGCACTGACAGTGTCGCTCCGCGCACGTGACAGCTCTTCACGAGCAGGAGCACAGCAGAGCCCCAGGAGAGCGAGGCCTTGACAAGGCAGCGCAACGAAGACGCAACCGTGCGAAAAAACGACCAGAGCACCGGGCCCCACTGCCGGAGGCAGCTCTCGAGCCGGCTCGCTGTGCCATGGCACCCGGGGGCCCGAGACCAGGCGAAGGCGCCCGGGGTGAGGATCGATGCTCCTCCGGACGTGTGTTAGCGTCAGGTCAGGCGTGTCCTTCTACCGGGGGGGTGGACGACAAAGAAACAAGAGTGCAAAGATACCACAACAACAGCAGCAGCAACAACAACAACAATCATGTTATCCTCATGCGCGATGCTTCCACACGAAGCATGCGACCATCATGAGAACCATCCACGTAATGGGGGGCTATTGTTCTATAGCGGGGTCCGTTATTCCCATTCCCAGATCTCCCGCCCAATGAGGTCTTGCAAACACATCCTCCGAGGAACTGCAACATATCCCGCCTCGAAAACACATGCCCGCGCTTTGCTGCGCCGATGCGAGACCGCCAGTGGAACCCAAGCGAAGGGTAAAGCACAAGGAAGTATCGAACGACAGGGATGCCTTGGTGGGGATGGGGCTGTCGACGGTGAGGCAAGGACCTGGCCCCGAATAGAAAGGAAGAAAGTCTCGATTGTTGGAAGCGGCGCCAATGCTGCAGAGAGTAGGGTGCTAGACCAGCGTAAAACAAAATGAAGTCTCGAGCGGGAAAGCTGGTTTTGCTGGGACGGCGGCTTTCGGCGGCGAGGAGGAACACCGCCTTGAATGAGGAAGGAGGAAGCATCGAGCGGGAGCTGTGGTTTTGTCGGGACGGGGGCTGTCGGCGGCGAGGAACAGCACCGTCCTGAGTAAGAAGAAAGGAAATCTCGAGCGGGAGCGCTGTTCTTGCTGGGAACGGCGCCAATTCAAAAGAGAGTAGGGCGCCAGTCCAGCGTAAAACGAAAAAAGAAGTCTCGGGCGGGAGCGCTGGTTATGTCGGGGCGGCGGCTTTCGGCAGCGAGGAGGAACACCGCCTTGAGTAAGAAGGGAAGGAGCACCGAGCGGGAGCCGTGGTTTTGTCGGGACTGGGGTTGTCGCCGGCGAGGAACAGCACCGTCTTCAGGAGAAAGTGTGGAAGCCTCGAGCGGGAGCGTTGTTCTTGCTGGGAGCGGCGCCAAATCAAAAGAGAGTAGGGCGCCAGTCCAGCGTAAAAGGGAAAGAAGTCTCGGGCGGGAGCGCTGGTTATGTCGGGGCGGCGGCTTTCGGCGGCGAGGAGGAGCACCGCCTTGAGTAAAAAAGGGAGGAAGTCTCGAGCGGGAGCACGATGAGGGCGGCACCGATGAGAGAAAGACTAGCGCGCCAGTCCAAGGTAAAACGGGAGGGGGTCTCGAGCGGGAGCGTTGGTTTTGTTAGGACGGCGGCTTTCGGCGGCGAGCAAGAACACCAGCCCTGAGTAAAAACGGAGGAAGTCTCGAGCAGGAGGGTTGTTGTTGTTGTTGAACATTATTAATTCTAAAGAATAATTATTGTTGGGACCCCTGGTGCACGGCCCCCCTGCGCCGCCTAGGCCGCAGCTACATTTTCATCATTTTCGTGAGGAAGCCTCAGGTAATTCGATGTGATCAAGATCCGGTTGTTTTGTTCCCCCCCGCTTTCCCTTGCAAAAAACACTATAAAATGACATTTCTTGTTCTAATATAATCAAATTTCAAGAATCCCTTGCAAAAAATAAGGTAAAGTGGACATTCGCGCGCGCAAGACGAAATCCTTCCAAAAGCTTAGTGTTCGGAGCGATTTTAACATAAAAACATCAAAAAACCAATGGTTTTTCAACAAAAAAATGTCAAAATCTCATCCCGCGCGCTCTTGCGGATTCGTAGGAAACCCAACACTTTTTAAACATTTCTGTCAAACGGGCTTTTGCGAGCAACTTTTTCGAACTTCTGCGACAACGGTTGCGCACCTGCCAGGGCCATCATCCCTGTCAAATAATACCATGCGGGACACATTCGTTTTTTCTTCGCGCGCGCACGCCGAAATCTCCAAAAACCATTGGGCTTCTTAAGAATTTTAGCACCGCGCATCATAAAATCACACGAATCGCACCGTAGGTCCTCGAAAAACACCTGCACGACTTTTCAAAATTTCTACCCGCGCGCGCTGTCCTAACAACTTCTGTGGGTGTGTACTCCACGCCAGTGTAGTAGCCACGGTCGTCCGCAGGCCACGAAGTGAAGTGTCCGAACGTCATAGGGCGGGAAGCTGGGTGTGGGTGGTGGCGAAGAGTCGTGTGGATATTTGGTAGAGCTTGCACTGCCCCCCCACAAAGTGGGGGTATTGGCTGGCGTCGCATGAAAACCCTGGCACTGGTGAGAACACTGAGCGTTCGGGTAAAGTGATTGTTGTTGTTGTTGTTGTTGTTGTTGGGGGGCCGGTTTGGGCGGTCCCCACAACCGCTCGAGCGTGAGCCTCATTTCCAATGAAAACGTAGCCGGCGCCTCGGCGAGGGCGCCAGAGCGCCTTGAAGGTGTCCAACAATAACAACCGTTTAGTAATTAACATCCAACAACACCACCACCAACAACAACAAAACTCAACCAGCGTTCTTTCTTCCAAAAAATCTCCAGAACACGTCCGCAGGCTATGCTTCGACTGCTTGTGAGCATTCCTCCCGCAGATGGGGCCGGCCCGACTCCGTCTTGGCGCCCGCGTGCGCCCCGGAGCCACCGAGAAGCTCTTCGGTGCGGCGCGGGCGGCTCTCCAGCCGCCTCGACCCGCGATGGCCCCCGGGGCCCCGGGGCCGGGCGGGGCGCCTCCCCGGCGCGGGGAGCGCCAGGAGGGCCGGGAGCGGCCACGGGGGGGGCGCCCAGGAGCGGGGCGTCCTGAAGAGGGGGAGGGGCGCGGAGCACGGCCAGGGGCCGGCGCGCGGCCCACGGGGGGGGGGAGGGGCCCAGGGGCGTACTGGAACGAGGAGCGGCGCCATGGAATCCGGGGAGGCATCGTGGCCCGCGCCACGATGTCCCCCCCCCCCACCCCTCCCCTTGCTTGACCTCACCCCCCTCTTCGCCGCCCCCGAGAGGGCGGCCAGCCCGCAGAACCCCCCCACCCCGCCCTGGGCCAGGGCTCCTGGCCGGCCAGGGCGTCGCGCGGAATGCCCCTGGCCCAACCTGGAACGCAGTCTCTGGACTCTAGAGGCGGAACTTCCATGACGCACGAGGCTCCCAGGAGCTGCTGCCGAACGCGTCTGCCCTGAACGACGCTGATGGTCCCGGATCCTGGGCGATGCCGCGACCGCCAACTGGAAAAACGTTCTCTCTTCCATCACGCGGGTGTTGCCAGAGGTGCCCCTGGCCCAATGTGTCCACAGGATCTCCAATAGGCGGCGAGCAAGGGGGGAAGTGAGAAGGGGCGTGCCTTCTCAGAGCGGAAGTC